TCAAAATACTTGTGAATGATGTCTTTTTTCTTTTCTATCTCTTGTTGTAAATCACCCTTCTCATCTATTAATTGGTATATCAATCTCTTTTCTTTCCTTTTTTAAAGTTTATAAGATAGCCATCTTCCTGGTTTATTTGCATATTCAAAATAAATTTGTTTAGTCATTTTCAAATTTATTTCCATTTGTTCTTGTTCCATTAAGTTCAATTTATGTTTGGCTGTTATTATCTGATTTTGTACTCTTTGGTTTTTAGGGGTTTTTTGTAATTGGATTTCTAATTCCTTAATTTGTTGTTGTAATTTATTTTGTTGAGCATATTTTCTTTTATTTCTCATGGCATTATAAGAGATTGTTATTCCTTTTATAACTGCCTTCAATGTATCCCAGATATTTTGTTTCGAGGTTGCATCATTATCATTTTCCTTTAGGAAATAATTTAATTCCTCTTTAAGCTTATTAATATACGCTTCTTCTCTTATTAATTGAGTATTTAATGTCCATCTTTTCTTTGGTTTTTTCCTGCCTTTCCAAATTATTTGAACTGGATTGTGATCGGCCCATTCATTTGGTAAAATTTCGATTCCTTTTATTTCATTTGCAATTTCCCCATTCATCCATGCCATATCTATTCTTGTCCATATTTTATGTGGGTTCGAGCAAAATGTACATTGTTTTTCTTCTGGGTTTAATCTTCTCCATAAATCCACCAAATTTAGTTCTTCCATCATTTCCTTACATGTCTTGGGAAACTCTCTTTTTCCTTTCTTGTTCTTGCTCGCATTACTACGGTCCTTTTGGTAATCAGCAATAGAGTTAAAATCGCCTATGATACAGATGTTCCTTTTTTCTAATCCTATTATTTTTTGGTGTAAATATTTAAAAAAAAATTTCTGTTCTTCATTTGGAGCATAAATTGCTACCAATAGAAATGAAATAGTATTAATCGAGATTTGTAAGACCAGAGTTCTTCCTTCCGGGTCTGACCAAATTAGATCTGCTTTTAAGTCATCTTTCACATATATTGCAATTCCTTTCTTTTTTTGTTTATCTGCTGGTGCTGTAAATAACTTCCTTAGTTTAGGGCAAATTAAATATCTTTCATCAATTTTCCTTATGTGGGTTTCTTGTAAACATATTATGTCGGCGTTTTGTTTAATTAATTTGGCTATTATCCTTTTCCTTTTAGTTGTCGAATTTAAACCATTTATATTGATGGATAGAAGTTTCTTTTCTTCCTCCATTTAGTTAAATCTGTTTCGCTTTTTGTCTCGTGATAATTCAGCTCTCTCCTTGTAGTTGTTGTGGGATTGGTTCTTCTCTCTCTTGATGTGGGTAGTCGTTCCCTTGGCTTTGGGGGGTCCTTCTTTTTTATTTCTATGGCGACTTCGGTCTTCCTGAGAATTTCTTTTTGATTCCTCCTTACTATTTTGATCTTCTGTGCCTATTAACTGTTCATAAAAGTCTTGTGCCCGTTCCATAGAGTCTAGTTTGATTTTTCTTTCTTTCCATGTTACTAACATCCCCTGCTTCTGAAGATTTCTAAATATGAAATTGTAATTGTCTTCCTATAATATAGATGAGGAATCCAAAGCAGATGGAGCACCAGGTATACAGTAATCTTGAACCTACCTATGTGAAAGCTCTTTATACGTGATGGGGAACTCAATTTTTGTAAGATTTTTGTTCTGCATGGACAAACCTTGCTTGTATGTGTACTGGATCTGTACTCATAAGCTATTGTTTATAATAATTCTCTTCTGTCAGAGGACTTTCAAATAACTTTCCTGATATTTTATTGTAGTAATCTTCCAACTAATAAAAATAGTAATTTAGTATAGGCTTGTTACAATAGTTTGGGGAAAAAAACCGAATTGGTCTGTAAACCTCAATTGTGGCATATTATAAGAATGCTATCAGAAGTGAAGACGCTTTTAAAAGATAGTTCAGTAAAAATCTAATTAAAATCACACATTTTAAATTTGTGCTTAATGGCTAAATTAACTGTATTTATTGTCCAATTAATAATTTAATACTAATTACAGCTTCTTGGATCAGAACACATTTCTTATTCTCTGCAGGTTCTTTCTCCTTTTTACAAACTTTCCTTTGTATCAGGAATCACATTGCTATATTTTAATATATAAGCACACAGAACATGAAATTTTAATATTTCCCTTACTTCATTTCATATGCAAGGTTTCATTTCTACTGGTTCTTTTGTTGTTTAAGTTCCTTATTAAGGGTGTCGTTTGTTTCCTCAAAATCTAACTGGTTTTAAATGAATCCCTTCTATTAGATTACAGCAGCTGTTTAAAAATATCTGTATGATTCAAGTAGCTTATTTTTAAAGAACACTTTCATATCAACTTATGACTGAAATGTGAAAGAAAAAAATCGGTATTTGCCAAATTAAAACAAATCCTTATCAAATATATATAAAAAAGTTAATTGTTTAGGGAAGCAGTAATGAAATACTGTATTTGCAAACACAATGAAATTCTATCCAAATGAATGGATAGCAATAATTGATCGCTAACTGCCAATTAAAATGTCTGTTGTTTGATCTATTTAGAAGAAAAACAAAAACAATGCAGCCAACATTATATAAACTTTGGGTTTTTTCTCTGTATGAATGTCAAGTTTTACAATCTTATATTAAGAGCTTGATTTTTTGTATGTTTGGTGAAGTCTTGGAGGTGCAAATTACAAGCCCTGGCCTATATTGACTATTGACCACAAGGGGGGGCAGAGTAATGTACAATAGATAGAGGGTTTATTTATTTGTTAAATCTATAAGCCCCCTATCTCATTGTTGAAGCAACTCTGCACCACTTACAAAAATGTTAAAAGAATAAATATAAACCAATTAAAATTTCTGTGAATTAAATAGAGATTGAGAACCAGGAGGACTGATGGCACAGAAGTGGGGTCTCCCAAGTTTTAAGGCTCTTCTAGAAGGTCAGAAGGGTGAGGACAGATGTCACTTATGGCAGCGGGATGTTCAAAAGGGTGGGGACCACAGCAGAAAAGACTCTTCTCCTAGACCCCCTCCCCAGTCAAAATTCCTTGAGAGACACAGTCTGTAGCAAGCTCCTTTTGCTAGAAAGGATGGGATGGGCAAATTCCATTGGGCGAAGATGGCTCTTCAGATATGTGAAGGATTAATGAGTCAAGGATTTATTCTGTGCCCCTCTTTGTCTACCATTTTGCAGGCAGTTTATACAAAAGATTGTTAATCTGAACTCATTTATTTTGTTATGCACAGAGCGTATGTTCTTAGCTTCTCCTGGGTAGGCTGTAGCTAGCTAAGTGCTTTGCCTATCTCTCTAATGTATTTCTTGTAAATAAATGCCCTCTCTGTAATAGTTGAACCACCTGCTCCACTAATCCTTGCTAAAGTCATATTCCTATTCCTAGAAATATTCGCATGCACGTGTAGAACAGTTCAACCTCCAAGAAAAGGGCAATTTATCTTTCTGAGAATCATATGAAGCTGAAATAACTACAAATTTGCAGCCAGCCTCACGGGCTAAGCTATAAAGATTTAATTCTGATCTGACTCACTACAGGAGTTGCTATAAATGAGTTTAAACAACTGATGCTCTCAAAATGAACAGTAGCTGATTTTTTACTGGGTTTGCAAAATCAGACAGGGCTACTCAGAAATAAGAGGAAGTATAAAGCACACAAAGGAGCATCGTACAGTCTGTGGAAGTAGATTAAAAGACTAAGGCAGAGGATGTTTTTTAGAGAATAGAGCGTTGCCTCCTTCAGTATAAATCTCTTCAGAGGCTACTTCAGTGTGAAGGACTGCTGGTGGTGTTGGGAAGAAGACGGTTAAAAACTTGCTTTAGGATGGGGAGTAGCTAAAAGTTGCTCTCTTCTTCTCAACAGTCTTTGCCATCCATTTTGGGAGGATATAACCCCCTTCCTCCTGACAGAGGAAAAACAATGAAAACCAAGCAGTTGGAAAGTGAAGACAGACAGGAAACTGGTAGGTCTTCACAAAGTTTCAGAACAGTATTATTTTTCAAAGATGCTTGAAGTGGATATATTTCTTAGAAAGTTATTGCAATTAAATTTAAATGTTCTTTGCCTGGCACAACATGAAAAAAGTGGTATCTTGATTTAGACCAAGCTGACAGAAGACCAGAATCTATAAAGATAGTCTTTGTTCAGTGACTGCCTTGGATAACATCCATCCACAGTCACAATAGTGATGAAGAAGGACCTTTGTGATCAATCCTTCCATTTATGACCTTTAAAGATCTATAAGACAAAATGAAGCTGAAGCAAGATCATAAGCACAATCACAGTTTTACTTGCAACTACTTTGCTTAATGATCGAATTGCTTATCCTCATTGTGGTTGCTAAGCAAGGAGTAACTAGTAATCACAGCACCAATCCACATTTGATGCCTTTACTTACCTTACCCCCTAACCCTGTCGGGATTTGACTGGTTGGAGAAAACTGAATCCAAAACACTGCCTTACCCAATTCCCCTTAGACAAAGCATCTAAACAGTCTTGCCATGCATATAGCCTCTGAAACAACAAGATGGGGTAGCTTCTCATTGATGGGAATTCTTGCTTGATCACTATTCTCACTTCTAGGTTTTCTCTCCCCCTCTTTCCCCACTGAAAGAAGGAGCAGGGCTTTTTTTCTCTTTCTCCATAATGTTGCACAGCTTTGAGTCTTTAGCTGGCAAAAATCCAGAAGAGGGTTTTGCATAAGTATATGTGTACAGAAGCCTTTTTCTGGCATAGTCAGTAATCAGTGAGGCCTCAAAAATGGCAGAATAACTCCTCCTAGTTCAGTCAGGTGAATCATGTCACTTTCATGGCCCAAATGTGCCATAGGGACAGTGTTTCGTGCTTCTAAATCATGAGCCAAATGTGCCATAGGGACAGTATTTCGTGCTTCTAAATCATGTCACTTTCATGGGCCAAATGTGCCATAGGGACAGTGTTTCATGCTTCTAATTGCTCTTTCTCACCTTTTTTATCTGAAAACCTATATTTGCCAACGTCCGTGAGATATTGTCAGGTCTTTGCATCAATGCTACTACAACATTGTATTTCATCACAAACTCTGGAACTTTGATGAAATATTGATGATTTCTTGAGAGAGCATCTCCTGTGGATTAACAGACATGATAACACAACTCAGACTTGATTAAGACCTTCTTTCATTCACATATACACACGATCCTTAGATAAGGGCAAGGGGATCTAATATCTTCCCATTGGTATTTAGCAAGCAGGTCACTACCCAATGCTATCATAGAAGATAAGGAATTCCATTAGTAATTACAATTCTGAAAAGTTCTCAGACCCATTTAGATAAGAATAAGGCCATTTTATCTAGAACACTTCCTTGTTAGAAGGAGCTTTGATTATTTATCATCATGGAAATATATTCTGATATACTGCAGCCACAATATCGCTTTGAACAGTTAACATTCCTAAATAAAGCATGCAGCTCTCAGTAACCTTTGCCAAGAAATAGTGACACCGGAAACTGCCAGGTATTGATACGGACCACTGATCCATCAAGCTAAATATTTTCTCCATTGAGTGAAAACTACTTCCCAATCCCAGTTTTCTGGAAATTTTGGAAATTGAAACAGGGAGCTCTGGCACCATTAAATTCAATGAAACTTAAGTCAAGCTGGATACACACAGATTATACATTCATGCATTGTAAATGTCATAACCTTCATTAAATGGAAGGCCATTCATTAGCCTTGGGTAAGATGATCTTTGTTAAAGAATAGCAACACTGTAGATACGGTTTCATGTTGTATACAATATATAAACATTTTTAATAAATGCATGTACGTAAATAACAAATCTAAATATAAATGTCAGACTTTGGAGATAATGTAAAGGTAACTGAGACAGCAATTCTGACCCAACACTGGAAGTTTTTAAGAAGAGATATGTTATGTCCCTGGAACTTAAAGAAGTTCCCACCCAGGTCCGTCCGCGCTGCGGGGGCGGTTGCCCTCCCTCTCATTGGCTGGTTCACCCCAGCAGCCAGCTATAAAAGCAGGCTGCGGGGTCCGACCAGTTGCTGATCGCTGCGAGCCAGTTCCAGGCTTGGCAAGCATGTTCAGTCCTTTATTATCCTAATAAAGTATTGTTGCATCCATGCCCTGGTTCAGCCTCTCATTATCCGAACTTAACAAGATATAACCATTTGTCTGAAATAGTATAGGGTTCCCTGCCTAAACAAGGGATTGGACTTGAAGCCCTCCAAGGTTGCTTCCAACTCTGTTATTCTATTCTATTTGCCCAAGAGTAAGCCCTAGTGCCCTTAGTGGCTCTTACCTCTACATAAACTTGTGTATGATTTCATTGCGAAATGCTGAAATACAATTTAAGAAGTCCCTGCTTTACATTTTGTGTCTCTGACAGTGATGTGATTGCTAAGAATCAACAACAACTTGAAAGTACATAATCAATGAAAATGATTATTATTGTCACCATCCTTTTTTTTCCCAAATAAGTGTGTCTAGAAATGCAGCCCAATTCTAATTTTCTCTATTGTTGTCTGTTTTAAATATTGTTTTAAATCCAGGTAGTCTTCATTTAACATCCATATATTCAGAGATTGTTCAAAATTATGACAGCATTGAACAAGGGATACTTTACTATGGGTCCTCCTAGTTGTAGCAGTTGCAGTGTCCCGTGGTCACATGATCACAATTTCAGTATTCAGCAACCAGTTTACAATCACAGCATTCTGCAATCATATGATCACTATTTGTAACCTTCATGTTAGTGGTGGTATTCAGCAGGTTTTGACCAGTTCTGGAGAACCAGTAGTGGACATTTTGAGTAGTTCAGAGAACCGGCAAATACCACCTCTGACTGGAGATTTTACAGTCTCCTTCCCCTGCCATGCCCACCAAGCCACACCCACAGAACTGGTAGTAAAAAAAATTGTATCCCACCATTGCTTCAAATGGCTTCCACCAAGCAAAGTCAATGGGGAAGCTGGCAGGAAATTGCAAATGGGAATCATATGACTGTGGAACATTATATGACCATATGGGAGTCATCTAATAGTGGCATCTGGGACTGTCACAATTACCACCATAAGTTGGCATGGTCATGGATGCCGTGTTTTACAGTCACATTGCTTAGTATTAGAGTTTTCATTCCCAGTTACTATCGGCAAAATTGGATTACCTGTAATCTGAATAAAAACTCAAGAGATACTACACAGACTGTCATTTCTGTTTATTCATCACATATAGGTCAAAATTACCCATATCAAGATTTGCCATGTAATTAGAATATTGCTAAACATGATACGCCTGTGAAAATTGTTTAGGATACCAACTTATTACTTGAGTCTACTTACTTCGATAGTTGCTCCCTTCTGGAGATAATTGGTTGAAATACGAAACCACAGACCAAGATGTATTGTTCTCCTTACCAAAATCCAGGAATGTGGGCAAATTATTGCAAACAGACAGGAATGAAAAATTGTCTTTCAAATCTTCAAATGATATCCTGAGAAAAGAGAATGTGGATTTGGGCTGCAGACGAATATTAATTACAATTTCTAGTGTGAATTTGCAATTTTTAGAAGCCTAAAATTTTTTCCTAGTGTGCAAGTATCTATGTAGGTAGGTATGTGTATAGATACAGAGAGAGATATAATTTAACACAGAGAAATCCCTCAAAGCCCATTTCATTAATGTGATAATACCAGAATTCGCCATCAGCCCTGTTCACATAGAATTTGTCCTTGAATGATTGAGGGACTCGATCCCACTCCATGGAACTGTAAAAGAAATCAAAATTATATATCACTTGAAAGTTACCAATAGTCTTGCCATTGTAATGCTAGCTTGTAGACCTTTTCATGTATAAACCTCCACTTTGAAGATTCACATCTAAAGCTTGAAGTCTAAATGGTGGAGAATTTCACCAAAGAAAATACCCTTCCCAACTATGCATTTCATTTTGGATGTTTTTTATGCAGAAATATTAATTCGTTCAACATATTTTGTAGTAACTTTTTCATCTGTCTTTGAGCTTGGCCTGTTTTACTATGGAGTTTGTGGAATTCTGCTCATTACTGGATTCAGTTTGCTTCATTTGGCTGCTTCTAATGCTACTGTGACCTTTACAACAAAATCGCAAGGATAATTACAGGGGAAGAGAGTTCTTCTCTAATGAGATAGTCAGCTTTCCACAACAAAACCCAGGAAGTGAATAAAATAGACCCTGGAAAATAGAGCTGATGCAAATACATCCTAACTAGTTGTTCCAAGCAATAGAATTGAAAACAGTGCCCTTGTTCCGTTCCCCTTTTCAAGGATTTCTGCAAATCATGTAGTGAAGTTGCAAAGAATCATTTTATCATGACACCTAATATTAGACAAATTGCTGGGTAGGTAGTGCTCTTTATGGCAGTTTCCTTCTATTTCTTGAAAGAATACATGGACCTCCCCTGTCCTTTATTGTTACAGATAGTCCCCAAGTTACAGTGGCAATTGGGACCAGAGCTTCAATTGCTAAGAGACATGTAAATAAAGTGTAATGTGACATGAATATACCACTCAGCAGTGGAAATCTTGGAAATCCCAGTTGCCATTGTAACGGGATTGTGTGGGTTGTTAAGCAGAAAGAGTTATGTGATTGTACTGTATGTTCATACCAACATTCTGATTTAGGCACTGAGGACTAGTGAGCAACTGAACAGGAAAAATACCACTGAAAAAGAAAGCTTGACAGAAATTGCAATAGCACTTAGACTTATATACTGCTTCACAGTGCTTTACAGTCCTCTCTAACTGTTCACAGAGTCAGCATATTGCCCCCAACAGTCTGGGTCCTCATTTTACCCACCTCGGAAGGATGGAAGGCTGAGTCAACCATGAGCCTGGTGAGATTTGAACTGCCAAATTACAGGGGTCAGCAGTCAGCAGAAGTCGTCTGCAGTACTGCACTCTAACCGCTGTACCACCAAGGCTCAAATCACTATGCAAAGTATATTGAATCTATGTTTATCTGCAGTTCAGAATAGGTGGAGAGGATTCAAGAAACCTACTACTGATTTACATGTGTTTACATGTGTCTGTGGATGAAAGTCAACCAAAAAATAACAGGACTCAAAGATATAATATAGCTGTGCAATTCTCAATATAGACAAACAAACAAGTAAATTTCAAATGTATTTTGAAACTCTTGTTATTTAATTAAGTAACTCAAAATCCAGACAGAAACTCAGAGGGAGTGATTTTTAAAAACCTAACATTTACTTATGCAGGTCCGTCATAGGCTGGTCACTGAACTGGGATTGCTGGGAATAAAAGTTTACCATCATCATGAACTGAGGATATGCTTGGAATGCAGGTCGGGTTCAGTTAAGGTCAACCTCAATGTTCTCATTGGTTAAAATGTAGTCTTGGATGGCTTCTTTATTAAGAAAATAATTCTTTCCATCTCTGACTTCTGATACTACCTCTCAGCAAACTCATTACAGGGAATTAGCTATCTAACTGTGTTAATTCCCAAGCTGCAATTTTATAATTAAGTGATAATTGTATTGTCTGCTTAGTATGAGCTAGGCGTGAATCAATAAATGTATTGATTCATGCAACTTAAGGCTGCTTCACCAAAATTTCAACTGAATCCGAATTAGACATTAATTTTTGGACATAGAAAAGCTGTAGAGGTTAGTTGCATTCCATTTTCAAGGAAATTTAATTTTTTGATACTTTTCAACAAGAGTTCTGTTAACAGCACCAATGGAAAAGAAGCTGTAAAACTATAGCATTGCTCCCAATCTTAAAACCAGAAAATGGTCCATGTTATCTAACATGATCACTCTCTGTTTTCTGCATAGAGCAGTGGTCCCCAACCTTTTTTGTGCCACGGCCCGGTACTGGCATCACAAAATGATCCGTGGCCCGGTACCGGCATCAGCACGCATGACAAGGCAAGGCGAGCCTAGCGACCGGACAGCCAGCCGTCCCCCGCTTCTCCCTGCCACCTTCAACTCCTCCTTTGTACCTTTGTCGATGGGCTTCGCTTCAGGACGGCTTCGGGACAGTCGCTCAGCTCACCTTGCCTTGGGTGCTGAAAGAATCCTTGCACCTTAGTTTCATTTGAAGCCCCCACACTTCGATGAAACTAAGGTGCGAGGATTCCTTCAGGACCCAAATGCCGCTTTCCAACCAGAAAAGCTCACCCAGAAGCACTTTCTTGTCAAACAAGATGGCGGCGCCCAGCAAACCGGTGGCCCGGTGGGAAATGTTCCACGGACCGGTACCGGTCTGCGGCCCGGTGGTTGGGGACCCCTGGCATAGAGTACTATGGAAAAATCACAAACTTATGGTTTTTTTCACTGATGTCAATAAAACTATGCAAAATTATTCCCATGGAAAGGAATGAGGCTTAATAATACTTTTTTTTATTTTGTTTTTTGGATTGAACCCAGGGTAATTCTAGCAAATTGTTTCTAAATGTGATGAAGGAAAATACTATACAATGTCTGAAATTAGGAACCAGATGATAACCTGCCAAAATTGAATAGCTGGCAAGGCTAAAGGGAGCTATTTCAGTTTCTCCAAGCTATAATTTTGCAAATGATTTTAGCAGCCGAGATGGACTATTTACTACCGTAGCAGGTTGCAATGTTGGTTTCCTTTCCTCCCACATTTTAAACTTATATTTATAAATAATAGATCTCCTACTGTCTGTGGTCTTGCTGGCAGCAATAAACAGCCGTCACAATGCTTTTCTTGGCACCTCCTACAGTTCCCTTGCCAGAGATGGTGATGGTGGTAGTGGTAACAACAGAGGATCTCTGCTTCTACAACTTCTTTCCAAGGATTTTAGGGCAGCTGAATGATCTGTTTCCAGCTTAGAATCTTTTAGATCAGGGGTATCTAACCTTGACAACTTTAAGACTTGTGATCTTCAATTCCTAGAATTCCCTAGCCAGCATGGCTGGCTAGGGAATTCTGGGAATTGAAATCCACAGCTATTGATGTTACCAAGGTTGGACATCCCTGTTCTGGATTATTTGGCTTCATGATTTCTGTATCCTTGCCCACAGACCATATTGGCTGAGATGTTGTATAGATATAGTATACAAAAGTTATCATTTACCCAATTTAAATTTTCCTCTAAGTGCAAATTGCAGTAACAATTCAATTTGGGGTGGGGGAGGAGACAATCAAAAGTGGTAAGATCTGGCATTATCCGGATGAAGATAAATGAAATGGAAATGCCAAGGGATGCCTTGAATTTAAAATAGAGCATGAAATGCCAACCCGTGGGTTGCAAGATTAGTTCCTGCAGAAGTATTATTATGCCAAGTCCCTACATGCTAAGCCTTAAAAATAATGTTTTTATTCCAAGACCTCAAGGGAGTCACCCTTCTTATGAAATAAAAGGTTCCAAAATCATACTGATCACTCCAAGCTCCATTCCATTCCACAGTGCCCCACGGATTCCAAAGTTTGATTAAAAGTTCTTTCCCGTCCATGTAAGGAACCTGTTAAAAAGAAAGGAAGGGAAAGCATTCTAACTTTATATATTTGGCATGAGGGAAGAGGCACACAGATATGTTTCCTTTTATATTTTGGTGGATATCTCTTGAAATATCTTTAGTTGAAATGTGATCCTGTTATGGAAATCCTTTTCTGAACTCTCGTATGACTTTATTCAGAATATCAAATGCTATCAGAATTAAATTCGATCCCAAGGATACTGCTATTTTAATTTATAGATATGTGTCCTTTTCCTTCACATTAACATTTATTATTGAAAAGAAAGTGAAGATGACTAGCAGTAAGATAGATGGGGTCAGTTACAATGATGATGGGTGCAATATTGGAAGACCTGAAGGACCAAGTTAAGAACAGATCATCCTGGAAAATATTTATCTCTATGGGCTCTAAGACAGGGGTCTCCAACCTTGGCAACTTTAAGTCCTGTGGACTTCAACTCCCAGAGTTCCTCAGCCAGCAAAGCCCACAAGTCTTAAAGCTGCCAAGGTTGGAGACCCCTGCTCTAAGAGACTACACTGACTTGGTGGCACATAATCAATCAACCAACATTTATTACAAAAATAAAAGTAACCTGTAGATTTATGAAAATTTCAATCTGGGCTTTGGGGGGATATGCAGATTTTTAGGAGAAAAAAACCATTTCTTTTAGGAGGCATTGCTTTATGCACTTCCATTTACGAATAAATAAGAAACATAAAAAACTTCCAATGAGATACATAATACATCCAAAAGGTCTGTCATCTTGGAATATATTCACTGAATTCTGAATTTGACTCTCATTTGGGTATTGACCTCTCTGTCTCAGTATCTAAGTGCTATCTATTCACACTTGGAATGTATTTTTTCTAACTATACTTATTGCCAAAAAGGTCTCCTTCAAGGTCATTTTAGGATCCCTTTTCATATAAGTCTCTGAAATGTTTTGCTTAAGAAATATATCATAACTTCTGGAGAGGGGGAAGAGAACAAGCTCAGATTTCAGGCAATTCATTCTCTCAGAAATAGCCAACGTTTTCCCCTTGTTCTTATAACGAATTCAATCATGTCACCCAGATGCTTTGACCTCCACTTCTAACTCAGCATGGATGTTTCAGCATGTGATAAAACTGCATGGAGAATGACTGGCATGAGCCAGCAACTTATATAACTGCAATGAAATCATTTTATAACTCAGAAATTGCTACACGTCATATCCATAAACAGGCTAATTCACGTTAGCTTTCTCTGTATAATGGGGAAAAATGAACGTCTGCATATAAACCAAATTCTTCAATCTTTTTGTTTGGGGGTTGATTAGAATAACCTGAGAATAGCACAAGAATTTCACCTCTCTATAGAGAAATCATTGGTAGATAAGTACAGTGTTATCTAGTGTAGTTCCTGGTATGGAGCCAGTGGTTAATGCATCACCTTAATCATAAAAGTTTATGGCTTAAGCAAAGTCATTATAATAATTAAAGTCTTTATGCTTAAAGGGAATATATTAAATCATAATACTGAATGAATATCATTATCTGTTTAATCATATATTCTTTACAACAGTAGTATCATTATTGGCTTCCAAAGTGTTCTGTGTAAATGCAAAGGAACATTAGAAAGCATTGATTATTATTATTTTCTCATAGGGGATTGGCTGTCACCACAGTAACATTTCATACCTGTATGTGATGGTATGCAGTGTGGGTGGGAAGGGTATTTGAAAGAGGTGTCTGTGTTGTAACAACATCTGTGAACAGTGATAATTAAGCCAGCCAACTGGATTTGCTATTTCAATTTCCCATTAGACTCACAAAATACATCTCAAAGTCATCTAATGTAATACCCTTTTTTCCATGACCCATTATCCACAGGTCTAGGAGGAAACCCACTAGAAGTTACATTGTGAAAGGCTCCTTCAGAAATGGAGCTGGTGTTCAAAGAGAAATGTCTTCATGATATATTTGGCTGCTTAAGACTAGATCAAGATATTTGCAAGACAATGGATGTCGGCAGCTATTGTCATCACTGTGCCCTTCTCTCCCTCTGCAGAAAGCCAGATCAATTCTGTATCTCATATTAAGGGGTAGGCTTGCTGCTACTGATGTGAGGAAAACCAGACGATTAGATTAAAGTCACTCTCTTTCAAGACCTCTTCTCTTATTATTGTGGATATTAACATCAGAAATTATGTCTCTAGTGGGATGAACACGAAACTCATCCTGATCCTCTTAACTGCAATAACTCCTTTGCTTTCTTTCACAATTGTTGGATTATTTCTTCTGGCTAAATTGATCTACTCTGGAGAAGAAGATATTAATATTTGGGGAAGGCAAAGGCTTGTGCTTTGGAAGAATAAGCCTGAGTAAATGACTTCTTCATCCTATTCCAAATTTCTGACCCTCCATTTCAGTGTAAACTGCAAAGCTGAGCTTGAGCTTGAGCTATGTAGCATAACCCACATTTCTTGGGTGATTGTCACTGGATGTGGGGTTTTTTTTTTAATCTTTTAAGGGATGTATAATTCTACTAAGTTTTCTATCAAATAGAAAAGGTTCTTTAAGGCTTCAACAGCAGACTTTCTGGAAAACTTAAATTACATTCAATCTTTCTTGCCATCTTACTGTCTTTTATTACACAAAAGTATGATCCTTGTTCCCAGAAAATGAAAGAGAGATATTTTCAGTACCGATGGATTTTCTAGTGTGTGTGTGTGTGTGTGTGTGTGTGTGTGTGTGTGTGTGTGTGATAATTTACTGTGGGATTACACATCTATAGAACCAAACATAGTCTGTTTGCATGAAAATTGAAAGTGTGAAAATAGCATGCCATTCAGAGCAGCAGACATTTTTAGCGCTAAACTGATATATTTGTTCTATTCTTTTTTATTCTGAATGGAATGGAAATCAAGGCCATGGAATATCCAAGTAGTTTCTTGCATAGACATTATCTAGATTTAGCTGTGCTTAACTTCAGCATCATGCACGAATTATCATGTGTTATCAGACAATAGTTGAAAATCAATCCACAGAAATACTCAATGTTCTTATGATCTTATCTGTATGAGGTAATTGTTTCATTTCACCCAAGAAACAACCTGTTATTCAGAGATTTTTGTAGGGATGATGTCATTCCATGGCTTAGAACAAACAGGGTTTTTTCTTTTGCTGCATCTCAACAAACTTACACACTACACATGTGGACAGGGAAGATTTCAGAATTGGTGCAGTGATGCTACTCTACTACACCTCTTGCAGAAAATAATGAAGAACCCCATTTTCTGTCCTTTCTAAGTATCTCTGGGTCCTACAACTTGACTCCCCTACCTTTTGTGTAGTAATTGAAATAAACTTCAGAGGTTTTGCTTTTCCTTGCTGTTGAATTACAGGATGCATTCTTACATTGGCCTCAGCTGTAGAATTGTTTTCTCAGTCCCAAGAAAGCCAACAGAAATTGCTCTGACTTATACCACCTTTAGATGATAATGGTGATAAGAATGCATCCCACCATTTCTTCACAGAGAAAAATGGGGATACGATGGGAGATTTTTGGTTATTGTCTGATGCAACTGCTCGATTCCTGGCAGTTGAATTTCATGAATATTGATGCCTCCTCAACAAACAGAATGAAGAATCTTTCTTGGGCCTCCATGCAGGCATTTAAATGAAAGTGCAGAAGCTGGCAATTGGCCAATGATTCATTAAATTAATACCTTAAAGGAGCATCTGTCATGCTCTTTTCAGGAAATCTTGTGAGTCCTCATCAAAATCACCTGCAGCTATAGATTTGAGGGTTGCTGTGGCAACTCCATTCTTTTGGCAGTTTGTCCTTGAGCAAGGTGGTTCTGCCTTGTATCAGATCAATCACCAGTCCTGTGAGGTCACACTAGCATCCTTAAAATATCTACTTCAGTTATAGAATGTAATTTCTACTACGTGGTTTTCAACCCTTGAAATCTTCTGACATTAAGAATGAAGCCTAAGCAGCTTACTAGTTCTCACTGCATTGAACACAATCACTTTGCTTATGATAGTTTCAAATTAAATTATCTCCATGGAATGAGCCTACTTATCACTTTATTCATTTACATTCTGTTAGCCTCTTAAAATTTGCTGGGGTTTCTTTTTCAGTAGCAAGTTATCTTTTAGTACCATTGGCTTAGACAATAAATATTAACCACGGGCTCAGAATTTTTAATCCTTTACTTGAAAACAGCGAATTGGCTGGCTATGAACTTGACTAAATTAATCATTTATTTTTTACTCCAACAAAAAGTTGCTTGGAGTACTTTTGGAAAGCAGGACTGATGTGGTGAAATCACTTTGAGGAAAGGAATGTTACCTTCTGGTTCATAAAGCAATATATCGACAAAAATAAGGAGAAAAAACAGTAGGACAGTTGCCAGTTAGAAGATAAGACAATAGTGAAAGTGGAGACTTATTTATTTTACCTCTCTGGCATCTATAACAGCATAGACATGTTGCTGCACAATTCCATTCTCCAACACTTGTCTACCCGTTTTTTTCTGAAAGAATACAAAACAGTTTTACTCTCTCTAAAACATTTACATGTGGTCCAACAAATAACCAGATATTTTTATTTTGATGGCACAGTGGCTCAGTAGTTAAGATGATAGCCTTGTTGACTGGAAAGCTGGGAGCCCAGGTTCAAGCCTTGGTACCACACAACAGGGTGAGTTCCTGTCTTCGCTCCAGCTTCTGCCCATCTAGCAGTTCAAAAGTATGCAAATGCAGTTAGATAAATAGGTCCCACTTTGGTGGGAAGGTAACAGCCACATGACCTCAGAAATGTCTTTAGACAACACTCAATGCCCTTGAAATGGAGTTAAGCATTGCCCCTTATAATGACAACGAGTAATGGAGCAAAATCTACAGATTTACATTTACCTTTTTTTGATGGGAACAAAATCTGGATCTTTTTTTCATAGAAGATGCACAGCCAGCACTAAAATTATGGGTGCTTGCCCTTAGGTACTACTTATGGCATAAGCATAATTGAGCTACCTCAGCTGAATAGCTTTGACTTGCCACCTGCTGTGTTTGATAAGCTACCTATTTTTAAAGCAACACAAGGAATCAAAAGAAGAGGTTTACTTAAGAACACTACAAGGCATATGAATTTTAATTTGCTTCTTCTGCTTTTGAGAGGGAATGATCTACTTCCCCTCTAGCAGAGTAAATTTCTAGATCTCAGTCTTGTTTCTGAGAAAGTCTGCTTAAGCCCAAATAGTATGCTATTACTGAGAGTTAGCAGAGGCAGATGGGAATTGTATTTCAGAAAATATATAAGCTGATCAAACACCCTTCCAGCTTTGTTTAACCTTTAATAAGTATGGTGAGTTTATAACAGCACTGGACTCTGTATACATAGGCACTGGATTTTCTCTAGTGCTCCATGAAATGACCAAGAAATAGAGGATAAGATGTAGAAATCTTTCTGCAGAAAGCATGCTGTGACTGTATGCCAATCTTTTTGAAGTTTTAAAGAAAACTAGAAAAACATTCCTTAACAACCTTTCAGGGTTTTTTTCCTACTTTTTTGGTGGGATGGGATGATAAATGCTAGCTGTGCTGTGCTTGTTTGTTTGTTTCTTGCCTTTATAATTTTTACAAATAACACAAGATGGCAAACACCCACAATACTTCTTCCTCCTCCTGTTTTCCCCACAACAATCCAGTGAGATGGGTTGAGCTAAGAAAGACTGCCCAAAGTCAATCAATCAATCAATCAGAATAGAGCTGGTAGGGACCTTTGAAGTCTTCTAGTCAATCCCCTGCTCAAATAGGAGACCCCATTTCAGACAAGTGAAGGTTCTGTCTCTTCTTAAAAGTCTCCGATGATGACAGCTTCTGTGGTTAAGGTATCACAGCCTCCCAATTTCTAGACTCGTTTCTTAACCACTAAACCAAACTGGCTCTCAGAATTGACAATTCCATAATAGATTCTGTTGGAATTGACTATTCCAAATCTTTTCTTATGAAACTTGGAGTTAATTTAATTTATATCTCTATTATGGATGATTAATCTACATTTAGAAAATGAAAAAAGAACATTCTGGATTCAGTTGTGGATAAGGAATCCAATTTCCCCAATTCCTATTTAAGTAAAACACTAGAAAAGTAAAATCATCCATCCCAAACTTGCTAATAAATGCCATCTTATAAATGTCAATTTGAATAATTGAATTTCCTCTTCTTCCTTTTCCCTCTACTCCTCATCCTTTTATTTCTTTTTATTGGTGGTTGTGAACTGGCTTTAGAATTTAGTCTTTATAAATTGACAACAGCTGCTTTGGGAAACAATAGTTAATAGAAGAACAGAATCAAATATAGGAAGTAAGTAGGCATGTAAAGGACCCTATATGATCCAATTTGGGCTGCAAGGACATTACTGAGATTGAATCCTAAGAGCAGCTCATGTTTGAATGTTCTTATCCAAGCTATATCCTTATATCTATCCATCTGTATTACTACATCCAGCTTACACTACTGGAAGCAGTATTGAAACAAGAAAAAGTAGCATTCTGACCAACTCTTTAGGATTTTAAACATGGGAGGGAGAACACCAATTGAAATTCCAAGGCAACCCATGCCCTGCTGCATCATCATTACTGAGATACTTCTTTACCTAAAAAGAGTAACAGAATAACCAGAGGTAGGCAAAAAAGCAATGGGCACAAGACTTTCTGACAGCTTCCCCATTGACTTTCCTTATGGGAAGCTGGCAGGGAGCACTGGAAATCCTTCTTTCATTTCTTCCTTCTTTCCTCCCTCCTTCCCTCTCTGTCTCCCTGCCTCCCACAGCATTATGGGAAACTTTCAAGGAGAAAGTAAGGAGGAAGCTATCAGGAAGTTGCAAATCCAAGGCCACAGACAAGTAAATGGGAAAGGAGTGAGGGGATGCAGTGGGGTGCAGATTGGAAAGGGTACATGTGGGTTAGACTGGTTTCTGGGTGTGTGCAAGAGATACTGCACGTCAGGGAGGATACATGGTTGGGCTCTGTGGGTCAGGAAGTGACCCACATAGTAGGGGTGTGAGAAGTACTGAGTGGGTTGGGCAGGGCATATGGGAAAGCAGCATAGGTCAGAAAGGCACCTAGGGAGTTTGGGAATTCACTAGAGGTGCCATGTATGCTAGGAATAGCATGCAAGAGAGACAGCATGGGTTGGGAAGGGGAATGGACATCAATGTGACTTAGGGGTGGCATATGGGGGGGGAACAGCATAGGCCAGTAAGAGTGTGGAGGGATTTCTTTCTCCCTTTTCCTCCATCCCTCCCTTCCTCCCTATTTCTCCCTTCCCCCATCCCTTTCTTCTCTCAGGTAAGTAGTTGCTCTGGGTGGGAGAGGGAGGGACTGCAAGAATGACTAGGAAACTGTCATGGATCTTTGATAGCAAGGATCGCATCACCACAACAGTAACCAGGAGCAGCATTCTGGTATTTGAAGTAGCCACAACTTTTGCAAACTTCATTCCCTTGGGAGTCATGATTTCTGGATTTTGGACATATCTTACGAGTTAGCCCATTTGAGGTACTTGGTTCAAAAATTGTTGCTCTATGATGCACTGTTTCACCCAGTGAAAGGTTATGGAAATGAGGGTTTTAGCAGTAATTAAATAGCATAACACTTCACGTAATTTAATAAAATTACTACATGCTAATCAGGACATTTATTGCACTCAAGATTTATACCATCTTCATAACATCACCCAGTCTTTGTGGTTGTAATAAAACATTCCTCCTCATTTTGGTACAACAATGATTGGGTGACTTTAGAAGACTGGGAAAATAGTAAAAATGTGATAAGTTCCAGAAGCAGCAGATTTCTGGATTTATTCAGAGTTGGGGGAATTTTAACTTTTTCTGTTTTTTGTTTTTGCTACACTATTTGGGATGGGAATGGCTAATAATGAAAGGTGTTATAATGTTACACAGTTCAAAGGTTATGTTCTATTTATTTCCAGAGGGAAAAATGGCAAACAATAAGAAATCAGCAATATTTAAAAGAAGAACCTATGTAAAAGTCTTACAAACTCAAATGACTAAATCAGAGATGGAAAAATTGTAAGACCAACTAATCCAAGAGATATTAATACTTTTAACTAAATAGCTCTTGAATAAATAACTCCTCTGTTGGCTGGAGATTTTATAATTGAATGGAACCTCAGACATAGTTCTAGAACTTATAGTCATCTTAACTGATCAAAAGATTTAAAATAGTGTCAAATGACAAGTGTCATATATGGAAGAAGCTGCTCCAGAAACCAACTGGAAACGAACAGGGAGAAGAGAAATTCCTAGCTCCTGCATCAATCAGTTTCCTAACACATTTCATGGATAGCCCAAGAAAGAATTTTGCCATCATTTAATTTAGGGTTGATTAAGGCATAAGTAATTGACAAGTACTGTTTTTGTCAGAAAGTCAACAGAACCCAGAAAAAAGCACATCTCAGAATTAATGTTCTGCACATGTAACAAGGAGCAGTGCCAAACAAGTTTAATCTTCCACAGACTTTTTTTTGACTCCACTTGGTTCCTTTAGTCAAATTCAAAAAATTTTATGGCTTGGATCTCCCAACTTTCTAGTATTATCTTGTAATCATATATGTTTGATGGATTAACAAAAGTATTAGTTCATTTTCATGTTTTCTGGCATTCTTAGCAGTATCCAAAATGTGAACTGTTCTCCACCATAAAAGGATCATTTGTGTCCCACATGCATCATTTCACTACAAGTATTTTTTTTTAATTTTCCAAGAACCTTTCCAAGAACCTGGTTGTTGTTTTGATATCTACAGGATTTTTTTCTAGTAATTTTAGAGAAGCTATTCTGAGAATCTCTTCTGAACAAGGTACCAATCCCTGTAAAGCTAACTTCTAACTTACCATCTCAGGAGAGCTGCATGCCATGAGACAGCCAGACGAAGCAGCAGTTTTCATGATTTCAAACAAATGATCAGTAGGGCTTCCAAGATTGAATGTCAACTGGACCCCACCTGTGAGATCCACGAAAGCTTCTGAGATAAAACCATAGTGCAACTTCTCATAAGAACCATGCAATCTGGAAAAAAGGGAAGACATCCAGGGTAGGCAGCAAAAGTGAAACAACACAGAATGTTTTTATGTATAAAAATATAAAAGAAAATTGATGGTTAGAGAAGTTCAGGCAAGTTAATGGTACATTTTCTTTCTAGCACCACTAATGTATTCTGTTAAGTCAGACTAGAAATAGAAACACAGCTTTAGACTGAAAGAATATTTCTATTATATTGTCATTTTTGATTTACCTAATAGGCTAGATAATCTTTTTTCTCACTTTGTCAGTTAAAAGTCAGTAAATGAATTATAGTCTATATTCATTATTAGTTCATTGTTTTAGATTTATTTCATTTCTCAAGTCAACATGAACAGTAAGTCTTTCCTTGATTCTAATTCAACTCCTTTCTTTCTTTTTCTTTCTCTTTCTCTTTTCCTTCCTTCTTTCCATCCATCACATAAATGAATCAATACACATCCATCCATATTGCCCTGTGCATATCCTAGAAAAGGTTCAATATCTCATATGCAATTAAGAGAAGTGAAGAATGTTTGTAGTCATCATACAATACAGTTACCCAGAGAAAAAAAGAGACAGAGCAAATCCACTTTGTGCTGGATTTGCTTTCTAGAGTCATTGTGGAGCACAATATGACAGACTCTCCAAGGTAGCAGGTGTTGCCTTCCACTTTCTATTAATCTGAATGAAGAGTGACCTCAAAATTTCAGATGGTACAATAATATTATGGTTCCATTTTTTTGAATTGGTTAAAAACAAGGAGTCTTATTTAATCATCCCTCTAGCCCAGAAGATAGTGGCTTCCAATAGGTTGGAAACTTTCCCAATCTTCCAGGAAGAAGTGCAAACTCAAAAGTGAAGCTGGGTTGAGATGATACATAAAGATGAGCTTCAGAAAAAGTCTCCTACAAGAAAAAGTTGTAGAAAGATTTGCTTCTGATCTATATTTGTCAGATTCTCAAAATATCTCTAAATACTTCAAAAAAAAAAAACCTTCCCTGTTTTCTTTTCTTACAAATCTTTGTCCCCAGATAAGCCTTTATATATTGTTTAATGCTGCATGCAATAATTACATAATGCACCACATCCTGAAAGATAAAATAACACCCTTGGTTACAGCCTGAAGTTAAAAATATTTTCTCTGTTGGAAGGAGATCTGCCACAGAAAAGTAAACAGGAAAATTAGAATAAAATTAAGCACAGTCTGCTCCATTTTTATTTACTTTCCATCATTGAATGTTCATCAGATAGTGGCATACCAAATACCAAAAAGCATGTTTCAAGTTTTTATTTTATTTTATTTTAGCTTGTATTTATTAATGCAAAAGAAAAAAGAAGAACCTGAGTTTATTACAACAGTAACATATGCCATTTTATAAAAGTAAGTACACAATCGCAGCTTCACCTTGAATTTAAACAAAATGGTTTAACTTATTTAAAACTAATGTTCCCAACCTAGCATTTTCCTTTTATTTCTACTATAATGTTTTTCTTTTCTTGTATTTTTTTGCTTTCCCTTTGCTTTCTTTCTACATCTTTTCTTCTTTACTTTGTATTAGTGTGTATTAGTTTTTATTTTCTTTTTAAAAATCTTTGTGGCATTTCCCATATTTATTATTGAACGATTTTTCAACCTTGGTAATCATTCATTATATACCGTCTGTATAAGATTTTGTTCCAATTTGCTTTCAAACTGTAGCTTGGAGTAAACCTCATGATTTTTTCCCCATAGTTTTTCCTATTGTCCCACTGTTATTACTTCTTTAAAAGTTTTACATTCACTTGATCACACAATTCTTACTTCGTTCTATCTCTGTGTCATATTTTCAATAACAATTTTAAATATGTTCTAACACTATCTTAATTCTTTATACTTATTTTCAATTCTGACATCTTTGGGCTGTGTTCAACTTCAGGGTTTATTCACCATAGTTTACACAACAGATTTCCTGATGTTTCACTGGCAACCATGGTTCGCATCTTCAGAGGCAACTGAGCAGGCTCCTATCTTTATAGCTAAGTGACCTGACTTTGGATTGGTCTTAAAGATTGCTTAATCACATCAGCAATAATACTGTTGAAAAAGCACCGCGCAATCTAAAACCATCTCTATCTATTGGACCGGACGGAATATGTGCCTACTTCTTAAAAAAGCTATCCACTGCCATAGCCGAACCTCGAAGCATAATCTTTGAAAAATCTTTCAGGACCAGCTCCTTACCAAAACTATGGTCACAAGCCACAGTCATCCCCATCTTCAAAAAGGGAGACCCCAGCCTAGTTGACAATTACAGACCAATCTCTTTATGTTGCATCACCTGTAAAGTCATGGAATCAATTATTAACCAATCCATCATCCTCCACTTAGAAACAAACAACCTACTCTCTAATAAACAATTTCATTTTAGGAAAAAAAAAACTATCATGTAATCTGCAACTCTTACACTGCAAAAACATATGGACTACACAACTCGATCAGGGCAAAGCAATAGACGCAATCTACATAGACTTCTGTAAAGCCTTTGATTCGGTGGTACCCGACAAACTACTCCTAAAACTAAAATCTTATGGTATCTCTGGACAACTGCATAACTGGATAGATGCATTCCTGTCAAACAGATAACAAATGGTCAAAATTGGGAGCGTCCTATCAAATTCTGTACCTGTCAACAGTGGTGTCCCCCAAGGCAGTGTTCTAGGACCAATTCTTTTCATACTTGACATAAATTACCTCTGTGATCATATCAAGAGCAACTGCATTCTCTTTGCTGATGATGTAAAGTTATTCAACACCACAGACAATACTACTACCCTTCAAAAAGACCTTGACTCTGTATCAGAATGGTCAAACAAATGGCAACTTCAGGTCTCAACAAATAAATTCTCTGTCCTACATATTGGCAAAAAAAATCAGAAAATAAAATACAGGCTGAATAGTCAAGACCTTATTGATTATCCAAACTCTGTCAAGGATCTTGGAATGCTCATCTCTAATGATCTAAATGCTAGAGCCCACTGTAACTACATAGCCAAAAAGGCGTTAAGAGTTGTTAACCTAATCTAATGTAGCTTTTTCTCTGGTAATATTACACTAATAACTAGAGCATACAAAACATTTGCTAGACCAATACTCAAATACAGCTCATCAGTCTGGAACCCACATTATGTATCTGATATTAACACAGTTGAGAAAGTCCAGAAATATTTCACAAGAAGAATTCTCCACTCCTCTACTCGTTGCAGAATACCTTATGCCACCAGACTCAAAATTCTAGAACTAGAAAATCTAGAAGTATGCTGCCTTCAGTCCGATCTAAGTATAGTATATAAAATCATGCATTGCAATGACTTACCTGTCAATGAATACTTCAACTTCAACCATAACAACACAAGAGCAAACAATAGAGACAAACTCAAAGTTAATCGCACCAAACTTGATTGCAGGAAATACGACTTCAGCAACAGAGTGGTCAATGTCTGAAATATTCTACCTGTGGTTTCTTCCCCAAACCCCAAAAACTTCAATCTTAGACTGCCTACTATTGACCTCACCCCTTTCCTAAGAGGTTTGTAGGGGGCGTGTATAAGCGTACCAACGTGCCTAACGTCCTATTGTTTCTTTTATTTTTTTATGTTTCTTATATGTATCCATATATTAATAACTATATTTTTACTTATTCCTATTATCTTGTAAGCAATTGACAAATTAAAATAAATAAATAAAATAAAACTCACTAATCTTGTGTGAGACTAACAAGGCTGGGGCCATTTGCAGTGGGATGCTGTTGCACAGGGCAAGCACTGCCAACCAAAAAGACAAGACTCTGGGAACCAGCTGTTTGACAGAAAGGATTCAGAGCATACCATCTCTGCTAGATTTGAATTGAATTTTGCAAGCAAAATTTTACAAGCAAAGTCAATGGGGAAGCCAAATTTACTTAATAACCATGTTACTAACGTAACAACTACAGTGATTCACTTAACAACTGTGGCAAGAAAGGTTGTAAAATGGGGCAAAACTCACTTAACTATATCATTTAGCAACAGAAATTTGGGACTCAACTGTGGTTGTAAGTGAAGGATTACCTGTAATTATAAGAGACCTTAATCTTAAAATTTATTAATATTGTAATGTTACTTTTTCAAGGACAAGTACAGGTAGTCCTCATGTAAACTCATAAAACATTTTGTATACACATTTTATAGTTGACAACAGAAAGAAGGGGGGGAGTTTCAAAGAGCAGGAAACAGTGTGGAATCGAAAATACATTCCATTCATATTTTCTTCAAAGACTGATTAGATGGCTGAAGCTTCTGCCTCGAAAAAATCTAATTGGAGAGCATGAGTGATGACTCTTGGCTATGGATGTTTTTCATTGGATGGTATCAGAGGGATGGGGTGGGGGAAACAGGATCAAGGGTGACAGTGAATTTTATATTTCAGAGTTGGCTACACCCAGGTTAGTATGGGATGTAGAATGTTAACGTCAAATAAATCCTCTTTAGCTTTGGGAGTGGGGCTCGAGGCTCATGATTTAATTGGAGTAACTGCCAGAATCCTGACATCTCGACTTATAACTGTTCATTTAATGACTGTTCAAATTTACAAATGCACTTTAAAAAATTACTTACAACCATTTTTCACACTTACAACCATTGCAGCACTTTCATACAGAATCTGTTAAAGATATCTATACATTGAAACCTGGGTAGGCAATTGAAGTAGTAAATGGCTGTGAACAAAGACATATCTATCTATCTTTTGAATAAGAATTGTCTCTTGGCAATATGCTTGTTACAATACAAATTATGGAATTACTATCTCAATCCTGGCTAAGCAGACTACAGTGGTGTGACATGTAAGCAAAACTTGAAACAGAAGCAGCTTTTGGAAATATTTACTTGGCATAAGCTTTCTCAAGCAGAGATGGCCAGAATTCATTCTTGCTCCTGGGATGAACTGATAAGTAATTTCCATCAATGAAAGGCAGCCGGTCGTCTATCACCACATCAACCCAACTTCCAAAATGCCAGAACTACAAAACAAAAGAAAGAAATGTAATTTTAGATAAACAGTTTTTTAATGATAGCACATCATAAAATGAATTTTTAAAATAATTATTACTAGAGTTCTTTCCTATCATTTGGAGTTCAAACGGGTGCTCATGGAAGTGTCCTTTCAGTATGAATTCACAAGAACCTTTTGAATTAGACCCGATTGAGAGAAAATGTGTGTTTTAAAATTAATAGAGAGTTTCCTGATTGAGTGGAGACTTTGAAAAAAATGGTGTATATGCAAAATGAAAGAAAGACCATAAAGAGACAGAGAGAAAAAGAAGCACCCTCCTCTAAATCTATACATGTCTCTTAATGAAACAAAGTTAATTTTACATGTTATCCATTTCTAATTATACAATTGAATTAATAACATTTAAGTCTGTCTAATTTGGAAACAAATTAAACTACATATAAACTACTTTTCTTACCTTTAATTGGTAAAATAAATTTGGAAGGAAATTGCTGGAATATAGGGAATTAAGTTCTTCAGACCATTACATTTTGAGAATAATTACCCTTCAAATTTGTATCATTTAATGTTACACTGTACAAGAACACTGCATCCATCGCAACTGTCTTTCTATTAATTTCCAAATTACTGGAAAATAATCATCATCATCTACAAGCAATGAATTTTCCAAAAACAAAATTAATGTTTTCAGTGAATCGAGGCTTTTATTTGGATTTCCCCAGTCTAACATCTTAACCCACAGTCTAGCTTTAGCAAGTATCTAGAGCAATTTTCCACAGCCAGGTAGGAAATACTAGCCTTGGCCCTGGATAATTTCATAGATTAATAAGGTATTATAATAAGAACCTTGTGGTATTAGACTACAAATTAGTCTTCTGTTTTTAACAAACATCCAGGTGTTGTAAGGACACTAACAATGACAACATAAAATCATTCTATGTTGATTCTGTTTTTACATGCTCCAGCAAGAAATATCCAAAGATATATTGCATCTGAATCTGTAGATAGTTATAATCATAACTGTATCTGTCTAATCCCATTTTAAAGTTCCTATACTTAACTCTACACTTATGACAGCCTATTATATAAGGCAATTACACTGTGACTAATGAACTGGGGTGTTTTAATCTATCTTGAATCAAATAGAATTTGTTTCACTGGGTGACCCAGACTCTAGAACTCTATGTTAGTCAAAGTATTCTCTTTCCCTTCTTTTCTTCACAACAAAGAAAAAGAGAAAAAAATTCCCACCTTTGAACTAACTTTGTCTTTTCTTTAAATCATCGTTAACAACAACAAAAGAACTTTTTCTTCTTTTTACAGAGTGAATTTTTGTGTTTTTCTGCTCCATCTGTATTATTTTTCAATAACCATATTGAAAAATTAAACTCTATTTAAACTCTAATAAAACTCTTTATGTAATACAAAATAGGAAGATTGAATACTGGAGGATAGTTATCTAAGACTCCTGCATCTTAGGATGGTCTTGTCAGAAGGGCGTACGCCTTTTCTCAAACAACTTCCTTTCAGAAAGCAGTAAAACACTTATTTAAATATAAAAATAGAGCGATATTGTATAGTAGAATGATGTATATGTGTATTTATTGTAGAATTATTGTGTCACTCATAGATTAAAACAGTCCAAGAGATAAACTGCTTTTCAAACAGCCTAGCTAACAAAGATAGTATGTGAAATTAATATCCCTAAAAAAATAAAACCTTCATTCTCCACAAGCATATTTTCAACAACTATTGATTAAGCATGAGTTGCTTGGTTCTTTTTGCCAAATCATACAATGGACTGTGTCTACCATGAAATCCAATAGTTAAAAGTTATTATTTTACCTATGAAAGAAAGGGATTCTACTAGCCACTTAAGCAGCTGGAGGGCACAGGTGTTCATCTATCAAATACAGGTGATGAATTGTTTCAAGAAAGGAGTAAAGAAAGCCTTCACTATGGACAAACCAAAGAATCCATTTCTGCCATCATTAGCAGCCTAATGGAGTGTGTCATGACTTTGTTAGCTCTATGGGACAAATCTCCATAGCTGTAAAACAAAGACATAAACTGAAGTATCCGGGATCAATTTCAGCATTGAATGGTTGCTTAGATGGGGGAATTTGAAAGGAGAACAGAATGAAGCCCTTGAAAGGTCACATCTTTGGAAGGTCATTAAGAAACGTGAAGGGGATGATCTTGCCATACTGTCATTTAATAAGTAATAGTCAAGTTAAAAATAGACCTGAAGGTTTTATATGAATAAGGAATTGAAAGTGCTATGTATGAAAGCAAATAATGTTTAGTGCATGGTTCGACATTGAATAAGGTTTAAATCAAGGAAATGGGATGTAATTATGAATCAATGTATGGAGAAGGCTTGTGATGATATTAGAGGAGTTTCAGTTGGGGGTGTGACTGCATGTGTACTTTTGTGTGCAGTTGATGTGTGTTGTTGATTAAGAATACAAATTATCTGTAACAAACTTTAGCTGGCATAATGGTCTGAAAATTAGATTATTGAAAAGCAAGGTAATTGCCTTTGATGGAGAAATAGAGCAATTTGCTGCAAGTTATACAATATTTAATAAAGATTAGAAAATGGAGAACTTTTTAAGAATATGAATGCTGGTAGAAAAGTAATATAGCTATGTGCTGAGATAGCAACGAACACTTTTTGCTGTTACTATTGAAAGAAGAGAAAATACTTATGTGTACTGATGTGCTTCTGTCCAATTTGTTTTATGAGAGTGCAAGTTTAAGTAGTTAGGAAAAAACATAATTTGGTTTGAATTATGAAGCTGAATGCAGTAGAAATGGAGTACTTAAGTAGTGTGTGATAAAAGAAGTGATGTGTTCAAGAATGGATGGATGCTAAGTGAACTATCACTATGTAAGAAATGTGTTAAGATGCTTTGGAGAGAATGAATGAGGAATGAATTGTAAAACAAATATATGAAGAGTGAATGGATTGAGAGACAATGAATACCTAGAAAGTTATGGGTTAGAAGGAATTGATGAGATCCTGAAAAAGAGAATCGTGAGCAACTTAAAAAATAAAAGGCAAAATATAAATGGTGGAGACAGTGGAATCAAGGATGGTTTAAATGGATAAATAAGTATCAGGGTATAATAAATAGGGTTGGCATAGTTTTAGCTACTATATTTTACTTATTTTGTCTTATCTCATGCTTTTTAATTCCTTTGGTTAGTGTTTCTTGCATCTTATGTGCACTTGGCATAACATTACTTACCCTGAAAGAAAATAATGTCTCGGGTATGCATGTAACAAAGGTAGATAAGTAGATCTCTTTATTTCTCTTTTTAAAAAAGAAATAAAGTTGCACCAAAACTAATTAGCAAGTTATGTCATGTTATCTGCAACTTTGAAGAAATAATATAAAAATATTACAGACACAACCTTTTGATTTAGAGGGGAAAGATCAGGGGTTGCTTTTCTTTGCTTCAGTTTGATCTTGCAGGAAGAAATATAGATCGAGGTGTATTGAGCTGCTGATAAGGGGGCAGTGAAAAATGGTTTCAAATTGCATTTATAGATTCTGCTTCTTAATAAGAATAGGTTGCTTCCAATGAAGTGCCAGTCATGAAGCACTTCCTAGCAGAGTATTTTGTATCTATAGTGGAATCAGCATTACAAAGCAAGCCATATAGAATATTCAGAACTAAATATAATTTGTGGAATTGATTATTGTGGAGAATCTGACATGACTTATTCTATTGCACGCCGAATAGTATTTATATACTACAGTGGCTTAAAACGGTTGCTGTGAATACTTTAGCTCTTCTGAAAAAAAACCTCATTTGATATAAGTATGCAACTTAACATTTTTCTGTATGCATCTTTTTACGATCTTAATTAATATGCTGATTAATGTGCTTATTTTGTTATAATACTTGCATTTAAAGTTCTTTTGATTTTTAATACTGCTAACAAGAAATACATGGTGTCATCCAAGCTCTAGGTTTTAAAATAGTTGAAAAAGGCACTGCAACATTTTGCATCACCAACCTGAAAATGAAAGATCCCTGCATAAGTGTGATTAAATCCTTGGTCTGTAGGAATCATATTTTTCAGGAACCGTTGTTGTTGGGTCAAAGCACCCAGAGCTGCTAAAACCCAACAGTTACCTTAAAGAAAGGAATGATAAATTACAAAAGTTCTCATACTCAACTTCCTCTCTAATTCACAAGAACTTGACTATTAACCCAACTGATAGGCCATGAGTCTTCAGGTTTGTAAAATATTGATTTTTCCAACATGTCTGAAACATGCTGGGAAATCATGCAGGATTCATTCATTCTCTCCCTTACAAAGCATATGCTCTCCAGTATGATATGGTTCTTTTCTTTAGCTCATTAAAAAATTCCTGATATTTGCCCAATTCTAATGATTAGGTATTATTTATTGAATGGGATTTCCCAAAAAAGTTTATCTCTGGTTTGGAAGTATTGGTATAGTGAGACCATGAGCCCCAACCCCACTAATTCTGTAGGCCTTTGAATATATATTTTTTTGGTATTTATTCCTTTTATTCTTACTGAAACAATTCTTAATTACACTGCAATTATTTTGTAAATTAATGCATTTCAAGTTTTTAACTGATATCCTTGTATTCTCGATTGGACATCTATAAGTTGTTGTGGAATATGTTGTGGTTACCATTTAGAGTAAGTACAGTATCTTGTCTAATAAATGTCATATCTGAGACAATCCTTCCAAATTATTATTTTTTTCAGATATTTTATCACATGATATAGTTGTATATTGATGTATTTTCCCCAGATATGTGTTTAAGGGGACAGGAAAGGTATAATTTTTAACACACACACACACACACACACACACACACACACACACATACACACACACACACCTGCTTTTGAAAATAATTCAGAAAATGAATGAAATCACCTCTGCTATTCCTCAGTTATGCTTAAAGGTTTAGGTGCTAGTGATGTTGACATTATAAAAATAATAATTCCTGCTATATTCTGCTTATTTTCTAGTTTGGCCCTTAAAAAAGAGCAGCCCTGCTGATATTTTTGCCTGAAAATTTGAGGGAAATTTTCAGAATGCGCACCTGCCACAAGAGGGTTTGAGGGGAGCTGTCAATATCTAGCTTCCTAACTTTCTAGAAGTAGAGTATGAGTGGGGTGAGGTGTGTGTGTGTGTGTGTGTGTGTGTGTGTGTGTGTGTGTGTAGGGAGGCACTTTGAATTCTCATTTCATTTTGTTCCAGGATCCACACTGTTGTTCATTCCACCTTTTTTGTTTGCCGCACATATTTTTTTTCTTTTCCACTTCAGCTGCTAATATGCCTTGCATATCTGGGTCATCTTTCATGAAGACAATTTCTTGTTTCCCTTGCTGTTGTTTGCTTTTCATTTACTCTATCCTTGGTCCGCTGGAAGAAGGGTGTCATTTATCACTCTGAGCACATGATCTCTTCATTTTTGTTGAAGGCATTATTGCTTTAGCCTGCCATTTGCCACTTGAAATGCTTTTAGTTTGAAACAGATGTGCTGTATCAAATATATTTAGATGCATAATGTACTACATATGCATTATATATTATTATATATGATATAATAATGTTAAGATACCAAGTAGTTTTCTAATGTGAGGATCTAATTGTATAACTAGAGAATACTGAGGGTTCCAGGGCCTCCTTCCTTGATTGGAGAAAGGCTTGTGTCTTAGGAAACCAGACAGCCCAAGAATAACTGAATGTTTGTTATATCCTTATCATGTATATTCTCCAATGAACTATGAAATGGTTGTTTTGTTTCCCCTATGTACAGATCTGCACATGGCTCATTGCATTGTACTGCACATACCACATTGCTCAGTTTCTCTTTTATCCTTGGAATGGACAAGCTTCTGCCTTAGTGTATTCTTGGGTTTGAAGTGTGCATGTATGTTGTGTTTCTGTATGTTCTCTCTCTCAGGTTCATTACTATATTGTGGTAACTTTATTCCCTTATCCCAATCCACAGCTGTCATCTCTCCCGAAGCCTGTTCTTAACACTTTTTCTTTCACCCATATCCTATTCATTTTTTCTCCACTTGTCATTTGCTTTGCTTCTTTGAACTGTCTTGCTTTATCAGCCAAACCATCTTTCTTCTCTTTAAACCTCTCCTAATCAAACCTTAATTTTCTTTTTTTCCAAAACACATCCGTCACACATCATCAGTTTCCTATTTGGAACTATGCTTTTTCTGCTACCAGTTAATACTCCATCAGCTTTTCTTTTCACTTATCAAACTCTAGCACCTGTTTTCTGCTGTTTTGTATTTATTACAAAGCTGATGGATGAAATTCAGAGCATAAAATTAAATATATGCTTAAATTTCCCTCCAAAATCAGTAGACTTCAAACAGCTTAACTTTGGTGAGATTGCTTCCGGGACCCAAACTCTGTTCTCTTCCACTTAACACCATGTCAGGCAATACTCAATACAGTCCTGTTCAAAAGACAGGGTGAGTATCAAAACATAAGTACAGTAGGCTAGAAGAGAACCATAAAATAAAATAAAACAAGTGGGGAAAGTGAGTAGAGATTTTTTCCATTATCTCAAAATGATAGAATACAGGTTTTGTTATGAACCTGAAGAGGGGGCTAGGGGTAGGGGAAGGAGCACCTTCTACAATGCAAAGTGAAATGATAGAATAGGAGTGTCAAACTCGCTGCCTGTGAGCTGGTTGCGTCATGCACTGGCCATGTCCACCCCCTAGCTTAGTGAAGGGGAAAATGTTGCAATATGTCACATGATGACAATATGACGCCATGACTTCGATCCCCCTGTTATAGAATATGCTGTGATAACATGTGGTATATAACTCTCAGTCTGGATTATACAAATTAATAGAGAAGATTATCAATATCTTTTATTCATCATGGTTACAGCCTATGCTTATTATCAAAGATATTATACCTCTTAATACAAATTTCTGGAAGCCACAAATTGCCAGTTGTAAGCAATTAGATCAACGTGTGAAAGGTTCAAGTTGGCTACTTTATTGCATTCTACCTAGAGTACAAGAATCTACTCAGATGGTTCGCCCTCCCTTGGCAATAAACAGAGTTTCATGGAATGGGAGTGGGGGGTGGGGTCAGTCCTAGGTCTCTTGCAGTTGTGCAATAACTCAAGGCTAACTCCCCATTTGATTCCTCCTCCTTGCCTGGATGGATTCTTGTGTGGTGCTATTGTTTTATGTCCTATTTCTCTTAGGCATAGCTTTGAGTATTATGAGAACATTTTATTCATACACAAGATCCACTGAAAACCTTTAAAGGAGAAGTAGAACCAGGCAGCCAGGGATATTTCCAAACTCATATTCTTATTACTTAAATATTTAAATTCCTTACCTATTTTTTGTCCTTGAAGAATATCAAATCGGCTTATTCCATCCACAAATAAACGTGGGTTTCTGACCAGTTCCTTCAATGGAAAGTGATAAACAATATTTATTCATTCTTGATTAATGAATTATTCAATCAATTATTATTATTATCAGTAGCAGTAATTTCAATAATTATTTATCATAGCTACTGCCAGCACTTCTATATAAATGAAAAAAAGAGAAGTCCTGTGCATTTGGAAACTATGGCTGCAAGTGAGATGTATACACCAAAGAAATACTTTAGAAGAGGTATGTTTCTTGCTACAAAAATTTCCAACTTCTTCTACCAATGTGTAGTCCTGTTTAATGAATTATACTAGAAGAGAGAGATCTAGAATGTACTTCATTGCATTTGAAGATATTGCATTGCATCATAAATGGAACACTCAGTGTACTTTAGCTTTTAGCATCTTTGTTTACTAGACTTGAAAGAAACTGCTGGAGCTATCCAGCTGAGCCTTGTTACATACTGTAAGAAATTATTTATCTAGACATCCGTTGTTAGTCTCATTCCTTTTTATTTCTTTAAAGAAAAAAACAGATATCTGCAAAAACCTCAGTGATTACTCTTTCACATCTTTCTCAATCAATTTAATTAGCTGTCAAGGACTCCTCAAGGGTAGTATTCCCACCCACCCCCCACCCTCCTTGGAAAGCCACATAGGTTTATATTGCTCTAACTTAAAAGAAAGATCTGAGTTGTCAGAATCAGGTCTGCTTAGATGTCTGAGGTGAGGTCCTGCTCAGCCATCTGGAAAGTATTTGAGCCTGTGAATCACAGGGGAATAATAGTATAGGCAGACAGTGTGAGTGTTTGCATATTAGATCAATGCCTCTTTTTTGGATGTTTTGGGGAAGGCAACATGTGGTTGAGTCCACTCCAAGCAATGGTAAATTCATTCTTTAATGAGGTTCCATTTGTTCTGAAACAAAGTTTATTGATAAGACTCCTTATCAATAAACATTATGTACCCAATAGTGTTAGATAATTTACAATTAATCCTCACCCTTCTCTTTTGGGATAAGTTTGTGGAGCTGATGGTGGTGCCTGGTGGGAATAGCTTATCCGGACGTTTTCAGTCAGGTTTCAACCCTGCATGTAGTACTGAGGATGCCATTGATTATGCTAGTGGATATCTGGCTTGTGAACTGGTTCTCCTGGTTCTTCTTGATCCCTTAGTAACTATCAATGCCATCTGTCATTGTGATTTTTGTACTGTGTGTGAATGCTAGTATGGTTCTCCTCCATTCTCTGTGGTCAGTTTCAGTCAGTATTAATAAAGAGGAGAAAATGCACCTTAGGATCTTTTTTTATGGGGTTCTTCAGTGATCAACACTTTTATTTCTTCTGTTTAGCCTCTAAATTAGGCCATTGAATAAGAGAATCTGACAGCATGGGGTCAGATATCATTAGTTACTAAGGGATCAAGAAGGATCAGGAGAACCAGGTCACAAGCCAGATATCCACTAGCATCATCAATGGCATCCTCAGTACTACATGCAGAGTTGAAACCTGACTGAAAAGGTCCAGATAAGCTATTCCCACCAGGCACCATCATCAGCTCCACAAACTTATGCACAATATACATAATCATATATCTCAACTCCACGCCAACTGAGTGAGTGAGCTGCTGTCTCATTGTCTGGAGTTAGGTAAAGTTTGTATGGGGAAGAACAGGTTTAGATTCAACCCTAGCAAGACTGAGTAACTATCAATTCAATATGTCTATGGAGATTCTCAGTCATCCAGGTCATGGCTATCCCAAAGATTCTTTTTCAAAAGTCAGCTGAACTTTCTGGCTTTTCTTTGAAGATATTTTGGGTGAGCTTCTTGGATGAGAAGTGAAACAACTTCAAAGAAAAACCAGAAATTCCTTTGCTTTTAAAAAAAGCACTTTTGTGATATCAGTAATCCTCTGTTTCAGGTTATTAGTTTTTGCTTTAATTTTTGATATGAGAACAATTCTAAACCCATAGAGAATATTCATAATAACTATATTTAATTAATGAAGTAGAAATATAAATATGCATGTTTTAAAACATTTTCCCCTTGTTCCATCCAATGTTGTTCTGGTCCTACTTCTTTTCCGGACTGCAACCCAGAAAAGCATATCCCTCAATGCATAAAGCTATTTACCTCCAAGCATGAATTCATCCTCTCCATCACTATCAATCAATAGAATTAGGAAGCTGGACTCCTAACTATTCAATTCTATTTCTCTTTTGTTGTATGTAATAAAATTTGATGGATTTTTTTTTAAATGAGCATTACTGGGCTTTTTGGCCTACCAACTCAACATCTCAAAGTAAAAAAAAAAAAGCATTCTCTCAGCTCAAGAAGAAGTGGAGCAACATTTCCTGACTGTGACTCCTTCATTAAAGTCATGTCACTACTTATTTATCCGAATAAATTCAGTTCGGATTTTGAATTGTAATTGATGGCTGAGAAGAAGCAGCAACAGCCTGTGATGTTAGTATTTGCACCCATTCAGTTTCTCCTTCAGGAGAACTTTTCAAAAAGGGGATGATTCATTACCCTGAGGTCAGTTTTATTTTCTCAGGGCAGAATTCAGTCTTCTTTAGAAAACTTGTCAGAAAATCCCTGACAATCCCTGTGGTTTTATTAACTTTTTCTATGGTGGGTAGTACATGAAGCTTTATTTTCCTACATTGTGCTACTGTAGTAGACTGTAAAAGGAAGAGAGAAGGAGAAAGATTTAGACATTTAAGAAAGCTGAAGTAAGTTGTTATGGATAGTGCTCATGAAAAATACTTTTGTGTAAGATATTGTGAAAGAGACATAATATCTTCCCTTTCTCTGACAAATCCATTATCCATAAATTATTGCAAAGAAGAGAAATCTCATCCACTTTTCATTCATTTTTTTCTCTTTTTTTTCTCCTCTTCATTTCAAAAATGCAACTCAGTCCAGCTTTTACACGTTAAAACACTTTTAAAACCAATATTAATACACACTTTTAAAAACAACACTCTATTGTTGCTTAAAAACAAAAGCCATTGCAAAAGAAGAAAAATCCCACCCACTTTATTGATATATTTATTAATTCTTTTTATTTTTATGGCACTCATCTTACAAATACAACTCAGGGCAGCTTACAACATGTTAAAGCACAATATTAATAGACATTTTTTAAAAGAACAATGGTCATGAAAGATCAATCCAAATGAAACAGTTAACAGAAACCTATCAACTTATCTAAACTGCTGATCCTCAGACTGAAGCCCAGTCATGAAAGTTCGGAACAGACAAATGAAACATATGAATAGTTGAGGTTCAAAGAGGGAAGCTAATTGATGGAAGATTTTGATAGCAGATATAGTGCACCATAGGGAAGTTACTCTGATTAAGGCCACTGAAAATGTTTCTAAAAATAGATGAAATAAAAATCAATAATACCATTTTGATTAATTTACCTAGAAGATTATTATATTTTAACACACATTTATCCAGCATTTTATGTGATTTCCAGGTTTAAAATAAATTAAGAGTTAATTTAGCTGGCATAAAATCCAGATAGTTTATTGTTAACATCTTCCAATCAAGCTGCCAGCATTGGCAAAAAGATTAGCAACCCCTGTCACTCTTTCACTCCTATGGTTCCAAATTCTTTAAATGACCAGAGGCCCAGAAGAGACTAACATGAAAGGAAAGAGTTCTTAAGCATCCATTGCTACTAAAAAGGAAACAGTCTAATTCTCTCTACCCTTTGGCCACTCTGCTTGGAGATTCTAGTTATAATTGAACTCCCCTGGAAGGCACAAAGGCTGGTCTTAAACCAGTAGCAATCACTGCATGGATTGAAATTTATTTAGCCATGCCATGAGGATGTTTAAAAGGTGAAATGAATTGTGCATACATATCAAAGATGTCTCAGCAAGGCGGAGCAGCTGGGTGGTCTTGTAAGGAAGTCGAGCAAGGTTGGGCCAAGTAAATTCTTGAATGGTAAATGATCAGAGAATATCAGAACTATAGGCTAGAACGCCCCTAACTACCTCAATTCCAACTACTGCTGGCCTTAAATGCAAGCTACTCAATGCAAGAAGCCTTGTAAATAAAATACCTGAATTTTTCCTCCTACTAAATATGGCTAAATTCGACATTATATTTGTCTGTGAAACATGGCTCAATGCATCTCTCCCCGACTCCATTACCACAGTAAGAGACTATCATGTTTACCGATCAGATCGTGAAATTCGTAGAGGAGGTGGTGTTGCTATCTTCTACAAAAAGTCCTTACATCTAAAAAATATCCAAGTTACCCAGGAGCTTGCTCTTCCTGAGACCATTATCTGTGAACTATCCTTAAATATCACAATTCAATTCTTACTATGTTACAGAGCACCTGATTATGACATCGAACATGTAAACAAGCTAAATACACTACTAACATGGGCAGCATCCTGCCCATACCCTTTTATCTTTCTTGGTGATTTCAATCTGCCTCATATTGACTGGACCCTAAATGAATGTACAACTGAAACCATACATGCAACCTTTTACAATGCTGTTACAAATCTGGGACTGGAACAGCTAGTATCCAACAACACTAGACTAAACAACTGCCTCGATCTCATCTTCTGCAATAGTTTGAATTTAATTTACAGAATACAAACTAAAGAATCCTTTTCCAACAGTGACCACAATATGATTGACTTTTGTCTCAACATACGTCCACACAAAAACCACCACAATGATGTGATCCCCAATTATAATTTCAAAAAAGGCAACTATGATCTTATAAACAACGATCTCTCATCCCTTGATTGGCAATCTCTATTCACTGGATGCAATACTGTTGAAGACCATTACAACATATTTTTACTTGAAGTCAAAAGAGTCATCAAACTATATGTACCAACAACTACTCCCAAAACAAAACAAAAAAACAGATTGCCCATAACAATAAGGAAACTTCAATCCAAAAAGAGATCACTCTGGCGGAAAAACAAATCTGGTCACGTTGCCAATTTCAAAAGCTGATACAAAAATTTATGCCACCAAATAAAGACCGAATGC